CCCACCACTGATGAGATGGAGTCTTGCTTTGTTGCCCAGGCTGCAGTCCAGTGGCATGATCTCAGCTCATTGCAACCTCTGCCTCCAGGCCCAGGCGATTCTCCTGCCTCAGTCTCTGGAGTAGCTGGGAACTGCAGGCATGCACCACCATACGCAGCTAATTTTTGTATTTTTTAGTAGAGATGGCATTTCACTTTATTGGCCAGGCTGGTCTCAAACTCCTAACCTCAAGTGATCTGCCCGCCTCGGCCTCCCAAAGTGTTGGGATTACAGGCGTGAGCCACTGTGCCTGGCCAGATGTTATTATTTTAAGACATTCTTGATATTTCCTTAGTTCCTTTATTCTATCACTTGCTTAATATCTACTTTAAATTTTAGCCTCGTGTCATAATTAAAGGAAGTAGTTTAACCAGAATTGTTAGCAGTTTTTGAGATAAACACTTTCTAAATTTCTGTGTTGCTATACTTTTGTTTCTATTGTAAATCTGTGGAGGAAATCCATGAACATGGAATCAGATTTAAAATAATTTTTTCTTTAAAAATAACTTTAAAATGCACCATTTGTAAGATTTAAACACGGGGAGTACTTTAAATGACAGTGTGGTTCATGTTGAATTCTTTGTGCTTTGGGATATCCTTTGGTAACTTCCTTTGTCATAGACTTTTTTTTTTTTTTCCTTTTTGAGACAGAGTCTCGCACTGTCACCCAGGCTTGAGTGCAGTGATGTGATCTCCCTGGCTCACTGCAGCCTCCATCTCCCAGGTTCAAGCGATTCTCCTGCCTCAGCCTCCTGAGTAGCTGGGATTACAGGCACACGCCACCACACCCAAATAATTTGTTTGTATTTTTTTTTTTAGTGGAGACGGGATTTCAGGCTGGTCTCAAATCCCTGACCTCATGATCCACTCGACGTGGCCTCCCAAAGTGCTGGGATTACAGGCATGAGCCACCGCACCCAGCCTTTCATATATTCAAGGTTTTACAAAGGGAGGCACTTCAGTTGGCTTAAGCTTGGTTTTGTGGAATCTGTTCCCTTTGTTAAGAAAGTGGATTTAAAGCAAACAGGGAGACAAATGCAGGCAAGTTGGAAGGGGTGTCTGAGAACATTTATCAACAATGTATTGGAACATGAGCAGAGCAGTTAGAATGTCTCCACAGATTTAAATATGAACAAAAGGAAAATAAATAGTATGCAGCTATACAGACTTAGTATAGGAACGAAAGACGAGAGAAGGTTGCGGAGCGAATGTAATTATTTATGGTAAGCATGACTGGAGCAAAGACTATATGACCAACTCTTTTTTTTTTTTTTTTTTTTTTTTTTTTTTTTTAATTTTTTTTTTTTTTTTTTTTTTTTTTTTTTTTTTTTAACTTCATACAGGGTCTTGCTTTGTTACTTAGGCTAGTCTCAAACTCCTGGGCTCAAGCAGTCCTTCAGCCTCAGCCTCTCAAAGTGCTAGCCACCATGCCTGGCCCCCTCCTCTCTTTTTTCTTGCAGAGGGAGCATGTATTCCAGCAGTTCTAACCTTTTTGCCACCAGGGACCAATTTTGTGGAAGATAATTTTCCTCAGACCTGGGGTGGGGAACTCACCATAATGTACAATCAGTAGGAGCCCTGAGCTTGTTTTCCTGCAGCTAGACAGTCCCATCTGGGCATGATGGGAGACTGTAACAGATCGTCAGGCATTACATTATCATAAGGAAAACACAACCGAGATCCCTTGCATGTGCAGTTCACGGTAGGGTTTGCGCTGCTATGAGACTCTAATGCTGCTGCTGATCTGATGGGAGGCGTAGCTCAGGCGGTAATGTAAGCAGTGGGAGCAACTGTAAATACAGATGAAGTTTCGCTGTCTTGCCTGCTGATCACTGGCTGTGTGTGTGGCCCAGTTCCTAACAAGCCACAGACCAGTACCAGCCTGGGGGTTTGGGACCCCTGATCTAATTAATCTCTACCTCAAGGACTACGGTAGAACCTAGCAGGCAAGAACTCTTAAGTTACGACATCAAAATTACTAAATTATTTGGATCAAGACTGGACAGAAAGCAATGCCTTGTAGTATCTGCAGAAAGGCGAAAGAGGAACTTAATGTAGGGATGAGAGATGCCAAAAATGTTTATAGCAAGCAAGATAAACATGGAAATTCATTATGGACAATTCTTTATTAGTGATGCAGAACTTGTTATTTATACCTAACCTTGTTCTAGAAAGGCTACAGAATGTCTTAAAGAGGAATGTATAACAAAATATCAAATGTAATGAGAGATACATAGATAAGGAAATCCATAGAGAAAATGGGCAATGACTAGTAATATGGTTCACAAAATGTACCATTAGTTCTGGCTTTTTTTTTTTTTTTTTTTTTTTTTAAAGAACTTGCCTTATTTTTTTTAGCAGTCATCCTAAAGAGGAAAAGTAAGAATTTTTACATTGGCTATTAAAATTCAAACAAATGGTCACCGAGGATCTGATTCTAAGATCAGAGAGAGGTTTATTGAAGTTCTTCATAAGTGACATTATACTGTCCTCAATAACTTCCTCACAGTAAATATATCAACAAGTTCTTAGGGAGTTTAACCCTAAAGCTGATGGCCTGGCTCAGAGACAGTATTCATTAAAAGTGATTCTGGCTGGGCGCGGTGGCTCAAGCCTGTAATCCCAGCACTTTGGGAGGCCGAGGCGGGTGGATCACGGGGTCAAAAGATCGAGACCATCCTGGTCAACATGGTGAAACCCCGTCTCTACTAAAACTACAAAAAATTAGCTGGGGCCGGGCGCGGTGGCTTAAGCCTGTAATCCCAGCACTTTGGGAGGCCGAGGCAGGTGGATCACAAGGTCAAGAGATCGAGACCATCCTGGTCAACATGGTGAAACCCCGTCTCTACTAAAAATACAAAAAATTAGCTGGGCATGGTGGCGCGTGCCTGTAATCCCAGC